GTGCAAAAGCTAACCTTACACTTAAAGGATCTGGACAAAGAACAGCAAATAAGGCCTAACCCAAGCAGGAGAAGAGAAATAATAAAGATTAGAGCAGAAATCAATGAAAAAGAAGCCAGAAAAACAGTAGACCAGAACAACGAAACTAGAAGCTAGTTCTCTGAAAGAATTAATAAGATCAATAAACCACTGGCCAGAGTTATTCAAAAGAAAAGACAAAGGACCCAAAGAAACAAAATCATGAATGAAACGGGAGAGATCATGACTAACACCAAGGAAATAGAAACAATGATTAGTAATTATTACCAGCAACTATATGCCAACAAATTAAGCAATCTAGAAGAAATGGATGAATTCCTAGACACTTATAAACTATCAAGACTGAAACAGGAAGAAAGAGATAATCTGAACAGACCAATACCCAGCAATGAAATTTGAAGCAATCATCAAAAACCTCCCAAAAAACAAGAGGCCAGGGCCAGATGACTTCCCAGGGGAATTCTACCAAACATTTAAAGAAGAAATAATAGCTACTCTACTGAAGCTGTTTCAAAAAATAGAAATAGAAGAAAACTTCCAAACTCATTCTATGAGGCCAGCATTACCCTGATACCAAAACCAGACAAAGACCCCATCGAAAAGGAGAATTACAGACCAATATCCCTGATGAACATGGATGAAAAAATACTCAACAAGATCCTAGCCAATAGGATCCAACAGTACCTCAAAAGGATTATTCACCACAACAAGGTGGGATTTATTCCTGGGATGCAAGGGTGGTTCAACATTCAGAAATCAATCAATGTGATAGAACAGATCAATGAGAATAGACAAGAACCATATGATCCTCTCAATCAATACAGAGAAAGCATTTAACAAAATACAGCATCCTTTCCTGATTAAAACTCTTCAAAGTACAGAGATATAGGGAACATACCTAAATATCATAAAAGCCATCTATGAAAAGCACACAGTGAATATCATTATCAATGGAGAAAAACTGAAAGCTTTTCCTTTAAGGTCAGGAACGTGACAGGGATGCCCACTCCCACCATTATTGTTCAACATAATACTAGAAGTCCTAGCCTCAGCGGCTCCTATTACCCACTTACATCAAAGGTTCTACTTCCAAATGAGGTCCTGAGGTTGGGATGTAGACCTCTCCCTCTTTGGGGACACAACTTACCCTACACTCTTGAGATAATCTTGCTCAGAAAAGAAGAGAGTTCTCCTACTTAAACCAGTCCCTAGCAAAGGCCTGCCTGGTCTATTAAAAACCCATGTGGGCAGGAGAGTGAGGCCCAACAGGCCCATATGTGAAAGGCACCCAGGAGTCTGATGATTTCCTCTTGGCCCGTTGGGCTCAGGCCAGCTCCCCTAGATCTGCGCATCCTGGGGTCAAGATAGCTTACTCCCCCAAATTCTTTCAAAGGTGGCAGCTTGAAACTGGCCAGAGACAGACTCCTTTTGGACTGCATGCTTGATTGGGCCCAGGGAGCATCCAACACCCAAGGCTCCCAGAGGTCTGTGTTTGGTGGGTCCCCCAGACAATCCCACAAAGGCTCATCCGGGGGAGGGGGGGCTCACCAGATTCCTCAAGCTCTGCCCTCAGAGCAAGGTTCAATGATGAAAACGAGGCAGACCCTTCATACCCTCAACCACCCACTCACAACACCTGCATTGGCCCTCTGGCTCTGGGTCCCCTGCCTTGTGCAATTCTCACAGTGCCCCCCACTTCTACCACTCCCCCACCAAGGACAGTGGGGCCAGCCGGGGCCCTCCAGGCCTCTGGGGTCTCCAGTGGATCTCAAACCATCTGAACACCCCACGGGGCAGAAGGTACCCTCCCCTACAAAATGTTTCTGAGTCAACAGTCAGTCCCCACCACAACAGACCCTGATGGCATCCCAGGGTTACCAGGAATCAAGGTTCCTAGGCATCTTTTCGTGAAGGATACCCTGAGAGCCCCACAGGCCCTGTTTGGCAAAGGCAGTCCATGCTCTTCCAGCTCTACCTTGGGGGGAACAGGATTCTCTGTGTAGCGGAGAGCTGGGAATTAGGCAGAAGACTTGGACAGCCAAAGACCCATTCACAAGAGCCAACCCCTCCGCACACTTGCCCTCCTCAGGTCCCTGGCTCCCCGCATCTGCATGCCTAGCCACCCCTTCACCTGTCTTGAGGAGGCCGGGGCTCGCTCCGCCTGTGCAGCTCTGCCCGCACCCCGACACCCACAGAGCCTCTTGGGTAGAGGGGTCCCACCCCCGAGAATTTTTCAGAGGAGGAACTTTGAAAGTGGTAGCAGTCAGTCCCCATCGAGCCTGCCTGCCTGATGGGGTCCCCAGCTTTACCAGCAATCAAGGCTCCCAGAGGTCTTTTGTGAGAGGGTACACCAGCCAGGCAGCCTCTGGCCCAGTGCTGACAAGGGAGTGCAATTGCTTCTAGCTCGGCCTCCCGTGGAAGTATGTACGTCTGTGTCAGCTAAGACTTGCAATGAGACTGACTTCAGTGATCCGCATAGCAGACTATACCTGTGACACGGCCTCTTCCCACAACTGCCCCCCCTGTTCCAGGGCCCTGGCTTCCCTGACCTGCAACTTGCTGGCCCACCAGCCCACCTTGGCCTCCAGTCCTGTGGAGCTCCAAGTCAACCCCAGAGCATCAGAATGGCCTCAGGGTGGAGGGAACCGACAGGAAAACAATCGTTCTGAGGTGGGAGGTTGAACCTGCACACAGTCATCCCCAGGTGGACTGGCTGCTTGAGGGGTCCCAGGCTTCTCCAGCAAAGGAGGCTCCCATGTGTCACCAGGACATCTTGTCAATCGGCCATGGTGGGCTACTGGGGTCAGCAGCATGCTCTGGGGCCGGGGTTCTCCCTATGGTCTCCCGTTCCAAGTCCAGGCCTCCTTCCCAGGCCTGAGCAACCTGTGTGTGTGCAGTCAGCCCTCCTCATTCACCTGCCCCCCCAACTTTGTTGGCCAAGCCCCTCGTGGAACACTGGGCTCAGGCCAATGCCCCAAACTGCACCACCCCAGGGTGGAGAGTGGTTACTCCCTGAAATTCTTTCAAAGGCAGCAGCTTCAGACTGGGGGCTTCATGAGTCCCTGGGCTTCTCAAACAACCAGTGCTCCCTGGGGTCTGTGTTGAGGTCAGAGGGGTCCATCCATAGCCTGCTCCAGGGCCCAGGCTCTCCCTCCCTATTTGCCTTTTCAGTTGCATGAAATTCCCTCAGGCCTGGGTTGCCTGTTCATGCCCAGTCAGACACCTCTCAGCTAGCCGCTGACTGTGCATGCATAGCGGGTCCCTGACAATTAGGCTCAGCCTGAAGGTGCACAGTTGGCCCCTTCTTGTTACCTAACCTTTGTCTGCCAGTAACCTTGTGGGCTGTTGGGCTCAGCTTCGGCCCCCAAACCTACATACCACCACGGTCAAGAGTGGTTTCTCCCTCAAATGCTTTCAAAGGCGGCAGCTTGAACCGGATGCCCCACTGGGCCCAGGGATCCTCCAACACCCAAGGCTCCCAGAGGTCTGTGTTTGGAGGGTCCCCAAAACATCCCGCACCACCCCACCAGATCTCTCCAGTTCTGCCCTTAAGGCAAATACGCTCAGTGGTCCTGATGACTGATGAAATGAGGCAGATACCTCCTGCTCCTAACGGGCCAGTCTCACATGCTGCCTTGTGCCCATATTACTGGCTTTGCTGCGGTTTGTGGCTCAAGTATGCAGAGTCCAGCACCTCTTCCACCGTGTGAGGGCAGTGGGGCCAGTCCAGGCCCTCCAGGCCACTGGTGCCATGATTCGCTCTGGAACCACCCCAACACCATCAGGGCAGAAGGAGCCCTCCCATCCCAAAGTACTTCTGAGGTGTCAGTCTTCACTTCACCTGAGGGGCTGCCCATGGGGTCCCGGGCGTACCAGGAATCCGTCTCCAACTGTCTTAGTGAAGAATACCCTAGAAACCACACAGTCCTTGCAGAAAGGCAGTCCACATACTTATAGCATTATATTCTGGGTGAAATACATGCATTTTTCTAATACAGGAATATAAATTAGGCAGATTATCGGGGCCAATACCGAAAAACTTCCACCACATTAAGAGTCCAAGTCTGTCTGTACAACCTCCAGGTAGAGGGAGACCGCCCGCTGAAACGCTTTCTGACTCTGACGTGGCAGCTCTCAACTGGCAACAGTCGCTCACCCTGCAGACAGGCTGCACCACAGGCTCCCAGGTGCTGCATTTGGCTGGCTCCCCGGTCAGTGGGCAGGCCCCAACCTAGCAGGGCAATCCAAGTCTTCCAGGTCTGCCCTAAGGAGGGATAGGCCCAATTAGGCAGGTTAAGGCTTGGAAAAAGGCAGATGCCATGAAGCCCCCCAACAATGTCCTCCTGTCATCCAGCCAGGCCAGACATTGCCCAGTTTCAGGTCCCAACCTCACCCCACCTTCCCCACCCACCCATGCACAGTCAGCACCCTGTGAGCAGGGGGCACTCCAGCCCCACAGAGGTCTGGTCTACCCCACCCACTGGCCATAGCCTTCAGGGTGCAGGGGACTCACACTCCAAATAGCCCTCTGAGGCTTATCTGAACTAAGAACTATCGGTCCCTTTGGTACTGGCTGCCTCTGTGGACTCCGGGGCTTCTTCAGCAATCAAGGCTTCCCAGGTGTCTCTCCTAGGAGGTCTCCCAAAAGTGCTATTTGGCCAGAAGCAGCAAATGTCCTTCTCTTCCAAGCTGAATGACTCAGTTTCTCATATTTCTAGCCAGAAAATTTACTCAAAGCTTTTATCAATAACATCAATTACTATAATGCCAAGTTAAAACAACCCAACAACTCCAACCCTTCTAGGTTATTCCCATCTAAAGAACATTACCAGTAGGGCGCCTGGGTGGCTCAGTCTGTTGGGCATCCGACTCCTGGTTTCGGCTCAGGTCATGATCTCAGGGACCTAGGATCTGCCCACACTGGGCTCTGCGCTCAGCTGGGAATCTGCTTGAGATTCCCTCTCCCTCGTCCCCTGTTCGCACTCTCTCTCCCACTCCCTAAAAAGAATAAAAAAAAATTAAAAAAAAAAAAAAAAAGAAAGAAAGAATGAACGAACATTATCAGCACCCTTCAACAGCTGGAATAAAAGTCAGGCCCCTCAACTCAAATTGAGGAGGTCAGGATATTAGAACTCACCCAACAAATCCATGAGGTGCTGAGAAGTCGGAGGGGCACAGAAGTCCAGGGCTGGTACCAAGTGTCGAGTTCCAGACTACACCCGCAGCTGTTCTCACAGAGTTGCTCTGATACCCTGCTGACTACAACAGGAAATGCTGATGCAAAGTGAACACACTTTTCAGAAAGAAAGTAAGAGAGATTTTCATTCGAGCCTGAGTTCAGACACCTGCCCGGGAAGGAAATACACTCTTCACAGAGATGAACCCGCTCCGGAGAATGAACAGTTTTTACAGGGTTATATGCTTTTTACATCTTGTAAAAGCTCAAAAGATTATAGATTAACACACTGGCAGGAATTACCAGTTCTATCCTAAAGGACAACATGGTTTTCCTTTAGGCTACTACTTTGTGAAAAGCAGATGTACAATGCGCATGTGGAGGGCCATAAATCAAGTTTGGGGTTTGAACAAACTCTATATGCAGTTATGTTGATTTGGAAACCTAAAATGGCTTCCATTAGCCCTTAGCAAGTTTTTTTCTCATCAGCACAGAAATGATACCTTCCACATAGCAGATTTAATTCCAGCCTTCAGGGAGAAAGAGAAGAGTCTGAGTGTCCTTCTTGCATAGGATGTCTCTTAAGTAATTTTTATTTAAAATAATCAAGATGTCGGGGAGCCTGGTGGCTGGTTAAACGTCTGCCTCTGGCTCAGGTCATGATCCCAGGGTCCTGGGATCAAGCCCGGAGCCTGCTTCTGCCTCTTCCCCTGCTCATGCGCTCTCTGTATCGTTCTGTCTCAAACGAATAAATAAAATCTTTAAAACAAAAAGTTAATATGTCATTGTACATTTTTGGGCAGCCTGCCCTTAGCCCCCACATACCTGGGCCGATTCCTTATCCTCCACTATCCCACAATCCTGGACGGTCTTCAACAAAAAACCTATTAAGTCATTTCACTCACAACTCCTCAACCTTCATATTTCCTCCTAGTAATCTGCTATCCACTGCCCCCCCAACTCTGCTCCTTGGCTATATAAATTACCAATTGCCACACTGTATTCCCAGTTGAGTCCAATCTCCCCCTCTCCACTGCAAAACCCCGTTGCAGTGTCCCTACACCAACTGTGGAAATAACCCCCACCCTAAAGAAAGTATCCTTAACTGTGCTTTAACACGTGTCATTTTTTTTCTTAAACAATTACACATTTTCGGGTAGCTCGGGCAGCAGACGTCGGACAACGGGAACTCGCCATCCACGGCGCACTTAACGACCTACACCGACCCTCGGATGCCAGCCCCGCTTCGCCCCAAGTCCCGACACGGAGCCCGCGGCCGCGGCTCTGCCTCCCGCCGAGGACGCCCCGCTCTCGCCCGCCTGGCCTCCGCCACCCCCGCTCGCTCCGCGAACCGCGCCCAGCGCAGCAGCCGCGGCGGCGGCGGCCAGGGTCCCGCCGGCCCCGCGCCCCCAGCCCGGCGCGTCCACACAACCGGGGGCCGCGCACACACCTGTCACCCCACCCGGGAGGCGTCTGCGCACGCAGGGCAAGAGGCCTCGCGGCTCTGAGTCTCACCTGGAACTGCCCCAAACAGCTCCCCGGAAGTAGGGAAGCAGCGGCCGGCTCCCTCGGACACCAGGCAGCCGCCAACCGAGCCGAGCGGCCAGCCGGCCGGCGCGCGACAGCGGACGAGGGGCCGACCGGAAAGTCTGCGGCCGCCTCTTCCTACCTCCGTACGCACCCCGCCCGGGCCCCGCCCCACGCCGGCCGCGCCCCGGCCTCGGCCCCGCCCCTCCGTCCTGTCCCAGCTTCACGCTCGCCCTCTCCATGCCCCGCCCCACGCCGGCCGTGGACCCGCCCCACGCTGCTCCGGCCCCGCCCTCCCCCGTCTACGCCACATGCTGGCCGCGCCCCCCGAACCGGCCCCGCCCCACGTTGATCACACTCTCGCACGGCCCCGCCCCACGTTGCCCTCTCCCCTCCCGGACAAAGGCCCCGCCCTCCACGTAATTTCCTACTAACCCGGAAGGGGATTTCCGGAAGCGAAGGTCCTGCTCTGGTAAGTGAATTCTGGTCTTGGAGGTTTAAACCCGGGCTCCTCAGCCCGTTCCTGGCTCCATTCTCCACGCCCGGGGTTCGCGGATTCCTGCGGGCGTCCTGGGCCCCGCAGCCGCCCGTCAGACCCGCGGCGAGTTCGGGGTTGCCCTGAGATGCTCAGGGCGCCGGTCCCTCGGCTCCCTGGTCCAGTAGACCGAGTCTGTTTCCGGTCGAAGTCGCCCCGAGCCCTTCCACAGAACCCAGTCCTCTCCTGAGACTCTGCCGCCGCCGTCGCCCTCCCGCGGCCGGGGGCACCGTCGCCGCCTCGGGGAGGCCCGTGAGCCCCGGACTGAGGGAAGAGAGCGAGCCCGGCCAGGGGCACGCCGTGTCCTTGCGCCGCAGACCCGCTCCCCGGGCTGTGTGTGACGGTGTGCTCGCGTGACCGGTCCCGCGGGAAGGGAGCGCCTCTGTCCCGGGGAGTGTCGCGGTGTGTCGGGAGCATGAGGAGAAGACGAGGAGAGGGGACCAAGAAGGGACGGCGAGGGCGGAACGGCGAGTTACGCGGAGGATGGGAGGTGGGTGGTTACGGAGGACTTTGAGGAAGCCGCGAAAGTGAGGAGGAAGGCGGCCTGGGGAAGGCGGACCAGCACGGGGATGGGGACCATACGTGAGACCCTGACCTCCACTGGCGGCGGGCGATGGAAGGGGACACTGCAGACGCTTTAGATATGTTTTTAAGGCTCTAAATTGCTTCCCCTATTAAATTAATTAAGTCACATTCAGACGATGAGTCCACAGTGCTTTCCCTGTATCATAAAGTGCACGTGTCTGTCGATTAGTAAATAACGTTACACTGTTTCTGCGTGCAGTTGTTGGATATATTGATGATTGTTGTCTTCGCATTCAAAACCGGGTTTATTTTAAACAGGTAGTCTAATATCCAACACCTTTTTTCTTCTATGTAGTTTTTAAAAAGATTTTATTTATTTAGAGCTCCCATGAGCAGCGGGAAGAGCAGAGGTCAGAGGGAGAAGCAGGCTCCCCGCGGGGCGGGGAACCCGATGCCGGATTCGGTCCCACGACCCTGGGATCATGACCTGAGCCGAAGGCAGACGCCCAACCGACTGAGCCACCCAGGCGCCCCGCTTATGTGATTTTTTTTTTTTTAAGATTTTATTTATTTGACAGAGAGAGACACAGCGAGAGCAGGAACACAAGCAGGGGGAGTGGGAGAGGGAGAAGCAGGCTTCCCGCCGAGCAGGGAGCCCGATGCGGGGCTCGATCCCAGGACCCCGGGATCATGACCTGAGCCGAAGGCAGATGCTAAACGACTGAGCCACCCAGGTGCCCCGTGATCTTTTAATTACATGATCTGAGAGCTAAAGTTTCCAACTCAGTATATGATTTGTTCAAATCTCTTTTTTTAAAACAAAAAACAAAAATTGTAGGATGGGCTGCATCATTCTGGAACTTTGTTCTAACACGTCTCATCTGATCATAATAAATACATTGCTCAAAGGTACTTCCATACTTGCCCTTGTATGTTTTCCCATGCCAATAATTAGGTCTTCTTAACAATACATTTTCTGATGTATTGATGTGATGTTCTGGAAAAAAAGAGAAATTAAAAGCTTTTAATCAGTGTGAGTAAAACCATGAAATAGAGAAGTTGCTCTTGCTCAGGAGGATGGAATGTGGGCTGGAATCTTCAGGGGCAGGGATGAGAAGGGCAAGACTTGCCCTTCTGACTGACTACTGGCTGCAAGCCAACGCATGCACAAGGCCAGTGATGGTTTACCCTCCACTAGCCTCTCCTCTCATCTCTACCTGGCCCAGAACACACACACAAGAGCACAAGGCGGTTGGGAAGGGAAGACCAAGAATTTTAAAATAAGCACAGAACAGGTATATCTCTTGGCAAACCTTGGTTCTGCGATGGGTGTTCCTGGGTGGGAGAGAGCCTGGGAGCTCAGAGACAGGAGAGGACAGCTCCACATCCTCCCTTGGTGATCCTGTGTTCAGCCTATACTGCAAGAGACTGCAAGGATTGTGACTTGAAAGGGAGGGTCACACAGACTCCTGTTCCTCCGAATGCCAGGTGACAGGTGGGCTTCACCAGGGTTCAGGGGTGTTGAGAAGCGCAGGGCAGACACTTGTTCCTCTCCATCTGCAACTTTATCATCCCTGTTCCCTGGTGCTTTAGTAGACTGCAGAGGACCACCTATTCTGCATGCTGATTTCCAACCCCCATGAGTGTTGGAGCCCAGGAATGGGACAAGTTATTCAAAGACCTGAATGGCCCATTTTCCAAACTAAGAAGTAACATCTCAAGACTGGTCTTGCCTGAGAGTTGCTCAGAGTAGGAGCAGGATGATGATGATGCCTCTTTCTTTGGAAAGAGTTCACTTATCTGTTGATTATTCTCCCTTCTTCCTGAATTGCTGTTTTTAGGACATACTAATCTCTGACTCCCAGGTACCCTGCCTGACACATTTCCTCACCCACTCATGGCTTTCCCTCCGTACTCTCCTGACTCCAGCCAATTCCATCTCTCTGTGACTAATCGACATGGAACTTGTGAGGTGGCTCCATTTAGGGGATCTTCATGAGAACTGCTTCATGCCCAGATACTGATTAGAGACAAGGACTGGGCACCATGGTATCAGTGAGGTTTGCCAGTTGGTATTGTATAAGGACCAAATCTGGATGTACCGTTAGCTCTTTACACACCAGGATTAAAGTGAATTAATCTCAAGAATACTGGAAAAATCCTGGAAAAGAATACCAATAAGGGGAAATGTGTACCTGATTGTATAATGTATTTGAAGCTTAACAAAGTGAATGTGTGCATTTGAGCTACGCCTGGGTGGCTCAGTTGGTTAAGCGACTGCCTTCGGCTCAGGTCATGATCCTAGAGTCCTGGGATCGAGTCCCACGTCGGGCTCCTTGCTTGGCAGAGAGTCTGCTTCTCCCTCTGACCCTCTTCCCTATCGGGCTCTCTGTCTCTCATTCTCTCTCTCTCAAATAAATAAATAAAATCCCTAAAAAAATAAATAAATAAAAAATAAAATCAACCTAAATATATAACATAAAAAGGATTTTAAAATTGTTCACAGCACATCGATCCCAACGCGCCATTACTGTTAACGGATCAGCAAAGAGTCGATTCCTCTGCAAGTTTCTGAGGGTTCCTACAGTCTGGGTAATGTTGGGCCAAGAGATGGCACCTTTCATGTTGTGATAGGTTCTGGCCTGATGGCCCCCCAGAATTGCAAAGTAATCTTTATCCATGACCAACTCCCGAGGTTGCCCCCCTGCAAAAGCCAGGAATTCGTTATGTATATACATACGTGTAGATTTGGATGAAATGACAACTCTATTTCCATTTTACTAATTACTTAAGAGACCGAATATATTTTACTTTTATAGAGATATTAATGTTTTTCTAATTCATTTCTCATGTGCATTTACATACTATTTTTTATTTTGTAGTTTAATCATATATAGGGGCTCCCGGGTGGCTCAGTTGTTAAGCGTCTGCCTTCGGCTTGGGTCATGATCCCCGAGTCCTGGGATCAAGCCCCACGTTGGGCTCCCTGCTCCGCGGGAAGCCTGCTTCTTCCCTCTCCCACTCCCCCTGCTTGTGTTCCCTCTCTCGCTGTGTCTCTCACTGTCAAATAAATAAACAAAATCTTTAAAAGAAAAATGATATATACACAGACACATACTTTGTTCTTATAATGAAACCACAATCCTTTCTTCATGCCCTTTGCTTTTCATTTTTCCTGTGGAAGGCATCACCTATTTCACATTAAAAAATACTTTATTCCATTTATTTCTAATATTGTATCATTGAATATTGTTTTTTAAGTACTTAACTTCAATTGTGTTAAAGCTTCAGATAATGTATCTTCAGAGGTAATTTGACCTACCTTCATTTTTTTTTCTGTTCCAAATTGTTTTGGCTATATTGTCACTCAAAATCAAAATTGACACAAAATTGACTTTTAAGGTAATTCTCAGTTTTTATGTGCAATACCACGTTACTTTTTTTTTTAATATTTTATTTATTTACTTGTCAGAGAGACAGAGAGAGAGAGCACAAGCAGGGGGAGGGGCAGAGGCAGAGGGAGAAGCAGGCTCCCCGCTGAGCAAGGAGCCTGATGTGGGACTCCATCGCAGGACCCCAGAGCATGACCTCGGTGAAGGCAGACACTTAACCGACTGAGCCACCCAGGTGTCCCACCGCGTGTTACTTTTAAATTTGGATTACACCAAATTTCTATAGTCACTGAGGTTTTTATGTCACGGTGTCCTTTAGTTTAAGAATCGGTTTGGTAGGCTTTACTCCTGTCATTTTGTGTCCTCAAAAAGTTCTTACAACATTTTTACATGGGTATACAAAATGATTTCAAATGGGAGCCATAATATTTTGCTGTTGTAATAGACTTTTTTTTAATGTGTTTGCTTAGTTTTTAAATTACTGTAACTAAACAGAAAATATTGATTTCAGTATATTAAGCATAGATCTGTCCACTTCTGAAAATATTTGTATTAGGTATGATCATTAAGGATTCTTCTGTTCTTTGGAATTTGAAGTCATCTCTTCTGGGAATAGCTGCGGTTCCAGCTCCTTGACTCTGTGTTTGTGTTTCCGTTTCCTGTCTGTTTCTCTTTGTCCTGACTCAAGCGTCCTGGGCAGTGGTGAGTGGCAACAACCGAGGCCAGCCCCCTCTTCTCAGCCTTAACTTGAGTGGGACTGCTCCTTTGCTGCTGAATATGTTTGCTGAGGTTTCCTTGATTAACAAGAAGTATCCCCCACTAGTTGACATGAATTTTAAAGATTCTCAATTATTTTGGGGGCGCCTGTGTGGCTCAGTTGGTTAGGCGACTGCCTTCAGCTCAGGTCATGGTCCCAGGGTCCTGGGATCGAGCTCTGCATCGGGCTCCCTGTTCAGTGGGAAGCCTGCTTCTCCCTCTCCCACTTCCCCTGCTTGTGTTCCCTCTCTCTGTCTCTCTCTG